TTATTGGGGAATTGGGGGGATGGGAACAGTGCTGGGGAATTGGGGGAAGGGGAACAGACAAGTTGCTGTCGTTCTTGTTCTTCAGTCTAGTTGTTGAGGACGTTGCCCCACTGGCCCAAGTTGGCACCATCATTGCGCTGACCCAGAGTTCTTGATCACGCTGCTTCGGTCTCTAATGTTGAGTGCCTCAACACAAAGAGCGAAGCAGGAGCCCAGAGGAGGGACGGGATTTGTCCAAGGTCACAGAAGAGCCATGACTGGAATTCAGGAATTCTCGCTCTCCCATAAAAACAGAGCCCAGATTAGCGTAACCCGTGGTGGCCACTGGGGTGAGATAGTCATTGGTGTGTATCTCCCGCCTTCCGGCAGCCCTGGGTGGAGAGGCTGGCACCCGTCACTTCCCCAGATTCCTGTGTTGACAGCTCTCCTGGCTAATGCCTGGGCCAGCATCTCCCGCCCCCTGGGAAGGGTGGAGGGCTGAGTCTTCACAAGGTGGATGGAGGACTCAGTTGTCAGGCACACCCAGCCACGGAGCAGATTTGGGGAACCAGGGTCTGGGGAAGGTCCTGTGCCTCACTCAGATTGCCAGGGGCTCACACTGTGCCAGGCTCTGTGCTGGGCTCTGTGGGCCAGAAGCAGAATGTTCTAGAAGCCTTCCCTTCTCTTTGCTCCCCATCCAAAGGATGCTTTCTGGCAGCATTTCAGTTGTTCTCAAGTTCATGAAATTGTTAATAATGTGTATTCTAATAATTACTTTTAAACATCTGTTAAAGTTTTCCTTGTATAGTGATAATTCACAATTGAACATTTTCATAGCCTTTTAGTAGGCTGACTTATTTTTTTAAATGTTTCTCAAAATGGGGTCTAGAATATGTTTTTTTTTTTTAAAGAACATCTTAGAAAGTGTTCCAAGGGGTTTAAATTCTTTTTCCACCCCAAATTCTGGACCAGTGGTCAGTGCCAGATCTTGGCCAAATTTTCACCTATCTGGGGTGAAGAGAGAAAAATTAAAGTTGTGAGTGTGTGTGTAACATTGAGTATAGATGTCATTCCCTTTTTCTGGAAGCACTGGTCTTGAGCTTTCCTTACTATATTTTGGAAGGTTAAAATGTCCTCTATTTAATGAAATGAGAGTGGTAGCCTGTGATCAATTTTTTCAGCATCCTTACTTTTCAACTCACACCAACTCTCCTATTAAAAAAATATTACTCATTTATGAAAACTGAAAATCTGCCAGCCACCGACACTGCTTTGTGGTATAGAAAGCCCTTTGCATCAATTCTCTCCTTTGATCAGATTCAACCAACACTGGGTGGCCAAGGTTGGTTAACGCACCTGCTAAGTATGGCTCAAATACTGGACTCTGCCAGTTATCCCCTCATCTACCTTGATCGAGTCCTAACCTGCCTCAGTCTTCTCATCTTTAAGCTGGGGATATTTCTATTCCCCAGGGTCATTCTGAAGATTAGCTAAGATAGTGTAGATAAGGCAGCATAGTGCCTGGTACATCCCGATTATGGTCTCTCACCCCATCTGGCAAGGTAAGTACTTCTGTCTCCTTACAGCTTAGGAAGCAGCCCCTCCCAACAGAGAATACGCACAGTAAAACCATGGCTGGGATTTCTGATGTTCTGCCCCCAGCACCACAGAGCGTTAAGGGGAACTTGGCTAGAAGTTGTGGTAGCTACAAGCCCTGAGAAAAAAGAGGAATTGTCTCTGAACTGAGGGTTGGGACGTTTTAGGGCATCTTAAGGCCATAACTGGGGGTGAGGGTAAAAACAGATGGTCTGGCCAGGTCCTGGGAGAAGGAAGAAATGGGCATGGAGGACCCCATGGTTGGTGGCAGGAGCCAAACCACAAGAATCTAAGAGACCACAAGTCTCTTTGCTGAGGGTTTCCCTGGTCATGATGAGAAATCCTGCTCTGGGATGCCCTTCCCTACGAGGGGGTGCTGCCTTGGGATGGGAATAGAGGCAGCCTAAGGGGGCAGGGTCTGGCACAACTAGAAGTCCTGTCTTGCCTTTGGAAGATGCCTGCTGTAGCATCTATCTTCATACTGACCTTCCGCCCTCTACCTCTTTGTTGTGTTGTTTCTTCCAGAGACAGCGAGAACCAGGTCAGCCACCCAGACCAGAGCCTCAGGAACTAGGACCCCTCAATGGGGACACAGGTGAGTAGCCTGCCCCATAAATGCCTTCCCTGACATCCATGAGATCTCCTACATTATAATCAACAAAGGTGATACAGCTATTTAATTATCTCATCAGATTTTGGATAGGTCACCTTAATAGGAGTATCGTATCTAAAATCAGGGAGGTGATAGTCCTGACCTGTGCTTCTCTGTTCTGGGCTGTTTCTACCACACCTGGAGTGCTGAGTTTATTTCTGGAGAGTACATTTTCAGAGGAATCTAGAAAAATTGGAAGGAATACAGTGAAGGAAGGTCAGGCTCACGAGGGATCTGAAAACCAGGTCCTGTAAGCAGCCGTTAAATGAACAGAGGATGTTTTACCTCGAAGGAAGGTGTTGCCATAAAACAACACTACTCTCCAAGTGTCTGAAGTGCCCTTGTGGAGAAGAAAGATAAGCCCTGTATAGTGTGACCCAGAGGTCAGAGCTAGGGCCTCAAGGTAGCAGGAACAGGCAGGCAGAATTCAGTTCAGTCTCAAAGGACTTTTTTGTGTGGTGGTTGGCTTAAAACCTTCAGAGCTGCCTGGAATGAACTCTCCATCTCTGAAAGTGTTTAATTACAGCCTGTCAGGGATATTATAGATGACGTTCCAAGTACTAGATAAACAACTGGACCAGAATTCAAAGGTTCTCCATTCTAACCTCAAAGATGCAGACCCTGGGCCCCACCATAGACCAATGAAGTAAGCATCTCTGGGAATGGGACTCAAGGATCTGTGTTGTTAGTGATGATAGCTTTTCAATAAGCCTCTCCCCAGCTGGGGCCTGCCTACTGCTGGCCTTGCGGACCAACATTTGGGATCCTGAGCCAAATGATCTGTGAGAATGTGAGAGGTCAATTGATCTTGACCTCTGCCAGCCCCAGGACCCAGGGCACTGACTCGCTCCTCCTCTATCCTGGTAGACTGACCACATTCGTGGCTTCTCACTTAGCAGCCCTATCCCCACATTTCTCTCCATACCCCCTGCCAGACCCTGCCCATGGTGGTCTACAATCCTAATACTAACATAAAGGAGAGTATTTGCCTCTAATGCTTGCCATGAGCCCTGATGAACACGTAGAGAACATTTAGTGAACAATAGAGAATGTTTATTGAGCACCTTCAAATGCCTGGCACAACACACAACTGCTTTCTGGGCATAAGAGGGCAGAATGAGATGGGAGGAGAGTTTGCTGTCGCATCAGATAGCCCTTCTTCCCCGAAGGTGAACTGGAAGATCTTAGGCAAGCTGCATAACTTCTCTGTCCCTCAGTGTCCCATCCGTGAAATGGGAATAATCATGGTATCCACCCCACTGGGTGGTTTGTGAGGCACTTGTAACAGAGCTGACACAATCCTGGCATGCTAAGCTCTCAGCATTCCTTACCTGCTATTATTATTTCTATTGCCATTGTTTTCTAATTGAAACATCTCAATAATAACCCTGTGAAAAAGATATTATTATTGTCCTGATTTCACATATTGGGTAACTGAGGCACAGAGGGGACAGGTCACTGCCTTAGGTCATACCGCAGTCGAAGCATTGGCAAGGCCTGTGTCGAAGTTGCCCTAAGAAGGGCTGGACTTCCTGTTTGCGTCTCCTTCCTGCTCATGGCAGCTTCGCTGCCTCCAGCCGGGGAAATGCTACCGGGAGTGTTCACACACTCAGACACTCACAGGCCCCAGCAGGTAAAGCACATGACAAAATGACCCCTTATATACACCTCAGTAGGGAGAGGTGAGGGCTGTGGTGATGGCAGAGCCACATCCTGCACAGAGCGGGAGGCAGCTGCTCCCCAGCCCTGGTTCCTGGTTGGCACCAAGGTGTACACTGTCACTTCTGTGGCTTCCTCAAGAAATGCTGGAAATCTGTATTCAGTAGAAACTGCCCAGTCATTAAATATCAGCAAACTAATTTTTTTTTTAATTTAGATATTAGGTAGGGCAAATAGAACATCTTTATGGGCTGAATCTGTCCTGTGAGTTTCCAGCTCCGCTATAGATCCTAGTGGGCAAAATGAGACCACTGGCTCTGGCATTGAAGGAGGGGCCTGCAAAGCTCGTGAGATTTGGGGGCTGCCTCTGAAGGTTGATCCCCAACTGAAACCATTCCTGAAGTGGAGATCAGGGTTCTCACCCCTCAGCCCCAGCCTCCCACACTTTCTCTGCTGGTGTGATTACCCCACTTCTGCTCAGTGTGATTTCCTTCTTTCATTCATTCATTCTGCTTTCTCACCTGTAGCCACAACTGTCCACCTGTGTGCATCTGAGGAAGCTGAGCAGCACCAGAAGGATATAACCAGAATTCTCCAGCAGCACGAAGAGGACAAGAAGAAATGGGCACAACAAGTAAGTCCCAAAACCCCCTCTTTTCCTCCTGTTCCGCTAACCTTGCAAAATCTAAGAGTGAGAACCAACTTTTGGTTTTATTGTTGTGGTGTCTCTTACTCCTTTTACCAAGAAGAAAGTCCTTTATCTGTTGAACAAATATTTGTAACTGCTTGCATATAATTCATTGTATTCATTATATGCAGAGAAAGGTGGGGAAACATTCTAACACAGTAGAAGGGCTTCCTGCCTTGAGTGGGCATGAGGATTAGAAGACTCTTAAATCCCTTTCTACCTAGATAATTCTCTGGGACCACCACCACCCCTAAACCCTAAAGAAGGCACAGTTGGCCACACTCGCTGTGTCTTGGAGGTCGTGTGCCCTCTCTGAGCACATGTCATTTCCATCACTCAGATGAGGGGGTGGGACTCTGATCACCAAGCTGCATATAGCCCCAGGGTCTGAATGAAGGTAAATAAGGCCCTGCTGAACCTGGACCTACTCAATCTCATCCTGCCCTGCACCCCCCATCCCACCCTGCCCCTGCCAGGTGGAGAAGGAGAGGGAGCTAGAGCTTCGAGAGAAGCTGGATGAGCAGCGAAGAGTCCTGGAGGGAGAGCATGAGACAGCACTACAAGGTAAGGACAGCAATGCTGCTCTAGGGAGGGCATGGGAGGGCCCTCCTTCTGGGGCCGTCTGCCGAGCTCACACTCAGACTGCCACTGGCCCCTCCCTCTTACCTTTGGTCCACAAGCTGTTGGCTGTGTCAGGACTGGAGTCTGTAGGGCCCTTAGACTTGTCCTTTGGGGCATAGCTTTAAAAGTCTGACACCATGCCTTGTTTTACCCTAGTTGAGAGGTTTTATTTCCTTTTCATTTTAAAAGCAATTCATATTCCTTAAAGGAAATTTGAAAAACCTAGACATATAGGAGAATTTTTAAATATCCATATTCCTTCCCCACAATAATGACAGCGTTTACAATTTTTGATTAGGTTAATTTTTTTTTCAAATAACTTTCTTTCCTCTTATCTCACCAAATGTGATCATCATATAAAATTTAGAATATATGGATGAAACAAAAAGGTTTTATAACATAGTGTTTAGGATCTCAGACTCTGCAGCTACAGGCTCTGGGTTTGAATCGCAGCTCTGCCACTCAACAGCTGTGTAACCTTGAAGAAGTTAGTTAACCTCCTTCATAGGGTCTTTAATTTAATTTTCAGATAGATAGATAGATAGATAGGATTTAGAAAAGTGCCTATTATTTTGCAAGATATTGAGCAAATAATAATTATTATTTTATTATTGAGAAAATTAAAATTGTGTGCAATTTCCCCGCAGAACTAGTCACTGTTACCCGTTTGATATAGATCCCTTTCGTGGTTTTTTTGTTTGGTTGGTTTTTTCTTTTTGTATTGTATAAACCCAGAATATACATCTAGACACACACACATACTTTGTGGGGGAGGAGATAAATTGATTTTTTTTTAAATTTGAATTGTATTAACAATTTGTCATTAAACTTCTGTAATACAAGTTTCAGTAACAACATAGCATTCCAATGGGTACCCTTGTTCATTGAACTGGGCCCTTTTGATTAGTCATGTAGGTAATTTCAGGCTTTTGCCATTGTTTACAATGGCAGTGATATTTACACAGTACACCCCATTTTGTAAAATCTTGGCCATTCATGATTTTATCATTAGTATAACATCTAATATCATTAGTATAACATCTAATAGAACCAATGTGTGTGTGTGTGTGTGTGTGTGTGTGTGTGTGTGTGTGTGTGTGTATTTTGGTAAAATACTTTGTTTTCCATGTAGCTGATGGACGCAAAGTCTGTCTCCAGCCTTCGGCCACTGTAAATAGTGCCACTGGTACAAACACCTTCTTGAACACCTGCTTTCAGTTCCCCCAGGGTGTACGCCCAAGAGTAGAATTGCTGGGCCACATGGTAGTTCTATGCTTAACTTGTTGAGAAACCACCAAGCTATTTTCCACAGTGTTTTACATTGCCACCAGCAATGCACAAGGCGTCCAGTTGAACCACATCCTTGCCCACGCTTGTTATTTTCTGTTGTTGTTGCTCTTAGTACTGCCATCCTAGTGGGTACAAAGCGGTATCTCATTGTGGTTTTGAGTTGCATTTCCCTGATGACTAATTTTGGTGACCACCTTTTCATGTGCTTGTTGGCCATTTGTTTATCTTCTTTGGAAAGATATATAAGATATATACTATATTTTAGCTGACTTTTTTTTTATTGGTTTCAGGTGTATAAAACAATATAATAGTTAAGACATTGACACCTCTCACAAAGATAACCCCTTCCCCCAACAAGATTTTTTGTTTGTTTGTTTGTTTGTTTGTTTTTTAAGCTGAGCCATCCTGCCATCTGTTGGCAGCTCAGTGGCTGCTCAGCTTGGGCCGAGCATCGAACCACTGTTGCTCAGAGCTCACACTCTTGAGCGAGCTCTTAACCAACTGAGCCACTTGGCTGGCCCAACAAGGTAGTTTTGATGCTATTGAAATTGACCTAGAGAATGTTATGCCCGTTTTCCCTTTAATCATCAATATTGGCCTGACCTTTCCCCAGAATTATTTATTTTTTAAAAACATAGTGATGATTATTTTATAGGTAAAATTATATACTGTTCTTTTCATCTAACATTGTATCAAACATGTTTCCATGTAATTATGCTGCTACTAAAGTGTTTATAAAGGCTAGACCATTTTCCTCATTTCCCGTGAGTCTAGATATCTAGATTTTAACTACTGTGTAAACAACATTGCACTAAACATATTTTGCATAAAGTTTTGCCCACGTTTCACATGATGTCCTCAGAGTCCCAGAAGTGGAATAACTAGAACAGAAGTCTGAACAATTTTAAGAATCTTGAAACATGTCGAACATTAGCACAAAATGTTTTGAAATCAAATTAAAGCCCTTGCCTTGGGAATTTGAAGAGTTGTGTTTTAATACTAATACACCCTGTGAAACTGGGCCTCTCGTTTGACCTCAGTTCAGTTTCTATGTCTCTGAAATCTACCTTGAATCTCAGTTCCCTTCCCACATCTCTAAAATCAACTTTCCTATCTCACAAGGCTATTGTGGGTAAACAACTGTTCACCAAGCACTGCTTTGATGTTCTTTTTAGTGTTATAAATATGTTGATAAGAAAATTTTCCTATTATAAAACCCTACAGGAGAAGGGGCTGCCTGTCTTGAGTTCTTCCCATCAGTTGGAATTCTTTCATCGTTATTATTAAATTGCTTGCCACGTATTAGGTGCTATGAAAGCATGTATGAAATGAATGAATAAAAGCATAGCATGGGGGAAATATGTGGGCTTTTCTTTGTTTTGGGGGAGATATACAGATAACTGGGAGAGAGGCTAGTAGTGGTTTTTCACATTTGATGATGTTTTGTAGTCTTTTATTTTAATTTATTTTTATTTTTAATTTTATTGGGGAACAGTGTGTTTTTCCAGGACCCATCAGCTCCAAGTCAAGTAGTTGTTTCACTCTAGTTGTAGAGGGTGCAACTCAGTGGCCCATGTGGGGATTGAACCGGTAACTTTGGTGTTATGAGCACTGCGTTCTAACCAACTGAGCTAACCGGCCGCCCTCTTTGTTGTCTTTTATTTTCTATTTTTTATTTTTAAAAATATAATACAGTAAAATTGGCTTATTTTTTGGTGTACAGTTCCATAAATCTTAACACGTGTATAGATTCATATAGCCATCACCATAATCTGATAAAAAAACAGTTGAATCACCCCCAAAATACTCTCTCAGACTGTCCTTTAGTTCCTAAATCCTCCCCTACCCCAACCCCTGGCAGCCACTGATCTGTGCTCCATCACTATGGTTTTGTCTTTTTGAGGCTGTTATGTAAACAAAATAATACAATATCATTTTTGATATGGATTCCTTTTACTCATCATGATGCCTTTGAGATCCATCCAAGTTGTTGCATGTATCATTAGCTCATTCTTTTTCATTGCTGAGTTGTAATCCATTGTTCACTCATTCACTTGTGGGACATTTGGGTTATTTCCAATTTGAAGTGGTTATGAATAGAGCTCTTCTAAACATTCATGTACGGGTTTTTGAGTGGACGTAAGTTTCTGTGTCTCTTAGGTAAATCCATAGGCGTGGGATTGACAGGTCATGTAATAAATGTATGTCTAACTTTATGAGAAATGGCTAAACGGGCCGGCCGAGTGGCGCGGTGGTTAAGAACTGGCTTGGGATGCCAGAGAGCCCCGGATCGGATCCCACATATTAGGGCCAGTGACACTGCCCTCTACAGCTAAGATGCTGAACAACAGCTCAACCTGGAGCTGGGCTGCCATGAGTCGCCGGCG